CTTTTATTTTGTGTGTTGGAAAATCAGCAATGAGACTCTTCAAAAAGATGAGTACAGAGACAAGGGAGTGAAGAGCCCTCAGGATTTGTGCCATTCCACTGTTTCTTAGTTACAGTGATACATCTCCCACGCTTCTCTAGGTGACCCAGGCAGGAATAACTAAGAAATATAAAATTTGGTCAGCAGCCTCCTGTCACAGCTTCACCCATGCACAGGCTGCCCAGTATGTTACTGTTGAACCACCAGTGTATAATGGTTGAGCAGGCTTGGACCTCCTTGGCAGTGCCTTCCCTGTAGTGTATGTTGTGTTAGTACCTACTTCCACTTCTAACGGAGTCCATCATCTCAGAAGGAACCTTCTCTAAAAGAACAAAACAGGGCAAAGGGATAAGTACATCAGTGCCACAAAAACAACAGCAATTCACACAGCAGAAGCTTTCTTGGGTCTCAGCCAGTCTGTTTGCTGAAACACTGAGGTCTCAACTACATGTTGCATTCAGTCACTTCCTATGCTCAGGCTCCACGATATGATGGGAGTGTGTATGTTCACAAGGACGTCTCACACACCATAAGCCACAACATTCAATTCAAGTAGCCAGAGACACTGCAGGTTAACACAGATAGACAAAACTCCATAATTTAAAAAAACTAAACAACCCTTGAACAACTAGTGAATTAATAATTGGCTTGCCAGACATTATGCAGGAAGATTCAAGGGTCCTGAAACTTCTCCCTCTAAAAATTTAAAAGAATATGAAAAAAAAACCAGAATTACCAGAATATTGTTTATTTTAAAAGGTCCCCAGTGAGGGTTGCCCTATTATTTTTTTGTAGGACAACAGCAAAGTTCTTTTCATACACAGCTAGCGCAGAGGATTTAGTGGGAAAGATCCTTATTTTTACAAGAGACACACATTTTAATAGCTTACCAGCCCAGGCACTAGCAGCCCTGGGGCTGATGGAATAAGCTATGCAGATGGAAACAATTATTTAGGAGGGGAAGGACTCCTGCATGCATGGAGAAACATCTCACTAAAACTGAAGCCTCCCACCAACACATTCCAGACTCTTGGAGTAATCTACTTTGGGGAATATGCTTTAAACTACATCAGCTTTTGTATTTCTTTCTCCAATCTTAATTGCAATCCCAAAACATACTCCCCTGCAAACTGACCCATCACTCTTACCAAACAGTAACAAATACCAGAAAATATTATGAACATCTGAACTCAAAACAGTTTAGAGACCCAACTTTTCAAGCAACAAGTTCTGACTTCAGACAAGCTTTTCACTACGCAACACACCTGGAAGAACTTACTCACAGATTAGCAATGTTGTCGTGGATGACTTACACCTAAAGTCCATAGTATAAAATCATGAATAAATCATACACACCATATTTGATATGTAGTATATCAAATTAAAATGCCTTATGTAATTCAAAATCGTGTGTCTTAGAAAGGAGCAGAATTTCAGAAAGTACTATTTGATTAGAAATATCTAATTAAGGATAGCCCTTTCAAGCCAGCTGCATAAAGAATGTTTCATATAATATGTTGCAGGAGAAAAATAACTCCAGCAGGTTTCAATTAAGCCTCAGTGCCATATGGATTTTGCATCAGCAGCAGGAAGGCTCAAACACCATGTCACAACTAAGATATTTTTATGTCTCCAACTGAAAGCACTTAAACTGCTTGGAATAGAAGCATGTGGGTCATAACATCCCCAATAAAGCAAAGCTTTTGCTGAGCCTAAAAGACACATGAAGCTAGAATATACCATATTCTTGGTCATGCATTGTAGTTACTAACTTTTAAAGGATATAAAAAGCTAAGTGTGTAGAGCATGTATACTTCAGTGCCCTCCTTACCCAGAAAAACAGAAGACCCCAGTGCAAGTCACACAGTGATTTTTAAGGAGATGCTAAAGGAGTGGAGCGTCTTTTTCTCCCTGCAGACCCAGAAGGGCACTGCTCCCTGAGCAGTTTACATGTGCCAACACAAGCACATTTGAAGGGCTCCTCAGGTTACCACCTCAGCCAACCTCCTGCTTAAAGCAGGATCAAACACCAACTAGGCCAGGATTCTGAGGGCTTTGACCAGTTGGGTCTTATGAAGGGCTGAGGTGCCATCACCTCTGTGGGTCCCCATTTTAACACTCCCCTGTACTCCCATGGAGTGGTATTTTCCTCAAGGCAAGCTGGATACTCACCCATTTCAATATATAAAGCTTTGACAAGTAACAACCCTCTATCCAACTAATGAAAGATGCTATGAACTGGAAAACAAAAGTTATGGGGTTTTCCCTTCACTATTAAAAACATTCTCAAAGACTACATCTTGATTAACCCAAGAGCTCCACTGCTGCTGCTGTGCCCTCTTGGGCACAAGGGACCTTGAGCCAAACTGTCAGTGTTATTTTTCTTCACACAGTTTGGACCCAAGAACCCCAATTCCTCTTTACTGAAAACAGATGTCAGCCAAGTTAAATCATCCCATGACTCCTCCAGCAGAAGGATGTAAACAGCCACGGCTCACCCAGCTGTTACTCAGAGAGGCCCCGCTGACAAGTCAGGGATCCCAGCATGCTTCAAGACCTTCAAAATACTTTGACATACTGATTTGTGTTTATCACTTAAATCCATCAAAACACATTAGGTCACTTGAGTTTGCACTAGATTAGAGTTTGGGTCTTCTATCAACTTCCTTCAGGATTTTGAGCTCAGAGGAGAAAGAAACTATTATCTACGTTTTTATACATACAATGCTTCCCAACAGAGTCTTAATGTTTAATAAACCCCACCCCTGCACCATGCCTGCAAAGTAAATGCTTTACAAATAAGAAGGAGGGGGGGAAAAAAGGAGAGATTTAGTGATGTGCAAAAGGTCATAAGCCACGTGTGTACCATACGCCTACCATGTTCAGCACACAGAAATGCAGGCTTCCACCTCCCAGGAGGCTTAACCTCAGCCAAAAGGAACTACCAAACTACAGCTCTCACTAATGCTGTGCTCCAAAGTGTTCAATTCAGGTTTTTGTATCCAACTTTTTCAGCTAAGAAAACTACCTACTTGCAACAGTATGGAAGGACCCTGGGGCAGAAGCTGTGGGATGTGTATGAGAAATGATGCTTTGCATCAGGTGAACAAGAGGTGAATTAAATCCAAAACTATTTGCAATCATTATAAACAACCACACTGGCAGGAGCTCTACTACAACATCTGAGGCTGTAAGCTCTCTTGCTGATGCCCAGGAAACGGCTTTTGCACGCACAGCAAAGGGAAATTAAAGCACGAACTCACTGATGTTATTCAAACACTTGCAGACTACAAAGGCAGCTGGGAGGTCATTCATGCTGTGACTCCAAATGCTCAGCAAAGATAGGCACAGGGAAAGGCATTACAGCCAGATTCAGGGAAAGGAAATTTTCTAACAAAGGTGGATCACAACACAGTCCCCAGGGTTCAAACAGAGACCCCTCAACTGTAGGTCTGCATCCATTCTCCAGGCCAGGTTCACACATCACCAACCTCTTGTAAGAAGCACAGACCTGCAGCAGAGCCAAAATGTCCTTTCCATACAACTTCTAGCCAAATCCTCAAACAAACTTTTATTCTTAACAGCCAAATATTTATTTGTGCATTATTTCTCATAGCTCAGAGACAGGAAAAACAGGTATAAATTACTAGTGCCATCAGCATAGCTGTGGTACTGGGCAGCTCACAGGAACCAGGAGCCCTCAAAGTAAGTTCCTCAAGCAGGTTTTGCAAGCTGGCACCAACTTCCCTGCTATTACAGTGACACTACCAGTGACAGCCAGCCCAGCCAAGCTAAAGCTATTCCGAGTGTATTCACACTGACTAAAAACTACACAGAGCATATACTCTGCTATCCCCGGGCTTTAGAACATCACCATGTAATTCAAGAAGCAATATTCTCCTAGACCTTTGGGTTATTTATTTACTCACCTGAGTTCATCTACTTTGCAGTGATGATCCCACTACAACGTTTTTAATTTAAATTATGGCAACTGCCTCGAGATAACAAGGTGTCATTTTGAACTGAGATTGTAACAGTGTGTCCAACATACTCAAATAGCCTAAACAAGCGAAATCCAAGAGAGACAGGAGGTATCTCCAGGGATTTAGCTGCAAGATTGGAGGCATCCCCAGTGATGCAGCTGCAAGATTAAGACTTTCCTGCCAACACTTTTTTTAAGTGCACATAGACTGGGGAGAAAATGAAAAGAGAAAAACCTTGAGACTACCAGAAAACGTTCTCCTCGCTGGCTCAATGAGGACAGCCTTGAGGTGTCAGAAGGGGGACTAGAGCTGAGACGATAAACCCTTTCCCCAGCAGGGCAGAAGCCAAATTCTGCAGGAAAAGCGACAACTCAGCACCTAAAGCACTAGAAATCCCGCAGCTCCGGGGCACGGCCGGAGCCCCCCCAACATCCGCCACGCACCAGCCTACCTGGAGGGGTCAGCGCTGCGGACAAGGGCGGCCGGAGAACTAAAGGAGAAGAGAGCAAGGGGTTCTCCCGACCTCAGTACCGCTGCCCTGGAGCCGCCCAGGGATGCGCGCGGAGCTCAGCGAAGGCGAGACCAAGCAAGCAGACCCTTCCCTTCCCTCCGCCCCGGCCACTGGGAGGGCTCCGGGAGGGCGGGACGGGGGCGGACCCCACCCGGAGCCGCTGCCCGAACTCGCCCGAGGCGCCTCCGCAACCAGCGGCATCTGCGCCCGGTCCCGCAGCATCCGCAGGGAGCACCCACCTCAGCCCGCTCGGCGTTGGCAGAAGGGGCAGTAAATGGGGAAACCCCACGGGAGAAGATCCTCAGACCCCCTCCGGGAAGAGTGGGATGTCCTTGGCAAAAGGCTTTTTTTGTGTGTGTATTTTTTGTTGGTTGGTTGGGTTTTTTTGGGAGGGGAGGAGGTTGGGGTTTTTTGGGTTTGGTTTTGGTTTGGTTTTTTTCCAAATAAAGGAGCTGCGAAAATAAAGATGTGGGCAAACAGTTTTTATTTAAGAGCATACAGCTTTGGGCAAACATTTGGACACGTTCAGGGGATGGGGAGGGAAAGGCAAATACGGACAGGAGAGGTTTCATGGTTACTAGGGGCTGGTGTTACACAGCGTTCCCATGCAAGGCTCTGCAGGCACATGGCCTGCACGTGGGGAGCAGAGACAAACGTTCTTCACAATTGGCTCTGTGCTCTTTGGGATGTGACTTCCTAATTCAGGTCCTTTTTAAATAAAAAAAAAAGAGTGTGTTGAATGTGTGCATCGATGCCAGGAGCACACAGCTGTTCTGATCACAGCCCAACACCTGGAAAAACCTTTAGGCCACAAAATGGTGGCTCGTCACAGTCCTACCACCCTCCTTGTGGCTCCAACAACTGGTGAAATCAAGCTACTGGTGAGTGTCTCTTTAGGCTGTAATCTAACCTTCCATCAGCCTGCCAGCTGTGCCAAAAAGCAGAGCCTGCATGGAAATGAGGGACATGCATGCTCGGGATCTGCTGAGGGCTTAATTATTTCTTATTAATTGGAGGTAGGCTTGCTTAATTTATTAGACCTGAGTCTTGAAAAGTTGTTTCCTACTTTGCAAACTGACAAGTTGAAGATCAGAAGAGTGCTAATTGGACTATAAGTATAATAATCCTTGGGCTGTACTGCATTTAAGTCCCAGTAAGAACCACTACAGAGAAAGATTGCCTTGATCTTTTTTGTTTGAAACCAAAGATTAGTAGTGTGAGCAGAGAGTATCACCGGTGCAGTTCTTGGCCCTTAAAAAAAGGGACTCATTCCTTTGAAGTGGAAGGGGAGCAGAATACACATCCAGGTGGTGGACAAGAAACTGTCATTTATTTCATATCTAACCTGTTAGTACTCTGAAAGTAGTTGTTGTGACCTCAGTGAGTGCTGACTTAGTCTTGAGTGGGTTTCCTTCTCAGAGAATTCCCCTCCCTCTGTCATGCTGCAGTCGCTCTCACTGATGCCAAGCAGGATGGATGCTAAAAGCCATGAGACCATCTGCTTTATTTTCACCCTCTGGTGGTTCTCTGAGCTTTGCTCAGCTCCAGTTTCCTCCCCAAGACTGAAGCCAACAGTCCCCTGCTCTCCAGCCTCAGGGAGTCCAGGATTTTCACAGCTTTTTCATACAGCAAAGCAAACAGCTGAGCCATGTAGGTAATCAGATAGGACGGCAGCAGTAGAATCCTCAGGACATTAAAGATCTGGAGCAACAGGCAGACAAAGTTCCAGGTGAGAGAAGAAAACATGGTGCACAACAGCTGATGAAGAAAAGGAAGAACTGAATTATTATGGCAATGATGTTTTCAGAAGAGGTTCTATTTTCAGTGGAATAGACATAATTTTGAAATCACAAGTGCTTGTTCCCTTCCCTCATCCACCCTGCACAACCTGCAAGCCTTTCAGCATGGTATTATGCCCCACAAGAGACCAGTTCAAGCTGCTGTGTTCAAGTCAATGCTTGTACGTGTGAAGAGCTCTAGGAGAATCAAATGGTACCTTAGACAAGTCCAAGCTCATTCTTAGCATTGTTAGCCTTTGAAAAATTAATTAAAAGGAAATTAAAAAAATTGTTACTACACCGACTTGGTGCGGCCTTGGTGGTGTTAATAATGTTAAAAATGCTTTCACTTAGGGTATTGTTGATTCCATGCTAAAGCTCAGCATCAGGGTGTGTTAGTCAAACAACTGCAGCAGTTTAAGGTGATTCCAGTCCTTAGCTAATCTAGCCTAAGCAAGCTTACCACTTCAGCAAAACTAGTGGAAGGAAACATGAGTGAGTACCTCAGTTGCTGCAATTCAAAAATCCCAGCAATGTAACTGAACAGACAGGACTGTGTATAGTGAGCGTGGAGCCACAGAGCAGCTTTCCCTTGTGAGCCCCTTCTACAAAGGAACAGACAGTCAGGGCACAGGGAAAGAGAAGACACACAAGACATCAAGCTCCTCCACTGTGTCAAATATATCTTTTGGGATTTGTGTAAAGCCTAAGAAGATTTGGACTGTTGTGTTTGCAAAGAGATTTCTCACTTCAGCTCTTATTGAGCAAGTGAAATACATCCTATTTTTAGTCACATACTCCACTGTGAGAAATCTGAAGCAGCTTTTAAAAATACATAATATCAGCCATAAATACCACAAGAGTTTCTACGCACATTTGAGCTAAACTTCTTATCTTAGAGAAATAAGTAGCATTTTTTTGCTGTTTTAAATGCAATTCTCAAGGACTTTTAAACTATGCATACATACCTTGAAATAGATATACACACACATATTCATGATAGTAATTCTGCACAATTTTGTGTTACCTTTACCTTGTCTACATCAGGAGCCACTCCAAGTGGGGAAGACAGAATATAGAACCTCCTGTTAGTCATTAAGCAGACATAAACCAATCTTGCAGCTTTTTCTTACCCAAGAGACCGAGGAGTCAGGCAGAGGTGAAAAAAAGTCAGAGCTGAGGCACAAAAGCAGTAGATATGCAAAGAGACAACCCGGTCACACTACTCACCATCATGATGTTACAGAAATTGCTCTTTTCAACATGGGAATATCTTATCTTCTGGCTCCGGGACCAGCTGTTTGAGGTCACAGCAAGAAGACTTTGCTTTTGGCTTTTTGGATTTGAGCTCAGATAAGCAGGCTTGGGCCTCAGCCTCCCCGCAGAGTCACTGGGTTGGGACTCCTCTTGTGTCTCTGTACTGGAAGCATCACTCTGGTTGTCCTCCTCTGTTAGCTCATCTTCAAATATAGAGTCAGAATCAGGCTCATCAAAAGATTCTTTCTTTATCTTTTCTGTGCTGGGCATCTGTGCTAGAAATAGGTTTAAAAAGAACATGCAAAACAGCTGTATATGACTTTTTCTCCCTGGCTGCAAGCCTTGCATGTTCCACCTGTGAGCTGGGCAAGGTTCCTCTGAACATTTTTCAGCTGAAATAAAGGATTTCCAAACCCAACTAGACAATAAAAGGTTTATACAAGTGTTTGATTTCAACTAATTAACTCTTAATCAGCAACTATATTAAAGGAAGAGCTGAAACATCCATAACTTTTTACTTGTGCCTGCTGTAATCTAGCATAAAATAAGTGGATATGACTGAATTAGGAAGTTACTTAAAAGGGCACTGTTATCTTTCTCTCTTATGAGTAACTGGGAAATGCTTTAATGTTGTAATTCTGTAAATATGCTAGTATGTAAAAAGTTAGTAATGTGTCTAGTCTTACTGATTAAAACGCAATTTAGAGCATTTGTGGAAATTGTTGGAGGCCTGGCGCTAACAACAGTCGCTACAGGGCCAGAAATTGTGGAAGTAAATGTAGCAAGAATATCCCCAAAATCTCATTCAAAGCATCAATAGATTCCAGAGTTACTCTGTCCAGACAAAAACCTGAGCACTCAACTGAAGTGTGTGCAGAGCCACCCTTTGCCTATGCAAAATAGATTTTTTTTTTATGACTGATATTGAACTTACAACTCATTCCTTATCCAGGATTACTTACGATCCAGCATTAGAGCAAAGTAGCAAGGCTTTATCCTCATGAGTGCATCGACAAGTTTATTATTAGTCTAAACCAAAAGCCTGTTATCATTTACTGACATGTTAGAAGTAAGAATCAGTGATGGATTGGGAAAGAAAAGAGCAAAATACACAAATAAATGAAAATGCATCACTTGCTCCCTTCAAAATTTTCTATCAGCCTCAGCATTGACAAAAGGACTCTACCAGCTTCCCCAGTAACACCCTGCACACCTCCCAAAAATAGAGGTGCCAGAGAACTATAATGTCGGAATTTAAAGTGCACAAAACTAGAGGGTTAGCTTTACTTTCTGGGAGATTTCTTAAATAGAAATCTACAAAAAGTACTTGTCTTTTGCCCTTCTTAAATCAAATTACCTCTGAGAAAAAGGGAGAGACTAGGGAATAGAAGGGTAAGGCAGCAGCTGGTCTTCCTATAAGCATTGTTAACAGAAAAGCATAATAATTTGTGTTTGCTTTTCCATATACTACCACCAGTACTAAGAAACCTTTCAGTTTCTTTCTGTGACAAGTGTCATTAACCTAAAAATAGCTAGCAGAGGGTTTTAAAGGTGAAGCTAATAGATAAATGCTTTATGCAGAAGCATTTTATGTGATCAATAGCCGAACTTACCTTCATTAAGTAGAAGCTGTAGCCAGATGATCATGATGATCAACAGCATTACAAATGGCAAACAGAACCAGAAGAAAAGCAGAGGAAAGGTCAGCTCATTCACCAGAGGAACCAGGGGATACCTCATAACTTGCTTCGGGTTACACTAAATTCAGAGCAGCTCATCTGCTCCGGTTTCTAACCACCTTTTAATAACTCATTGCAACACTATTAACGACAAGAAAATGAGTGATATATCAGCATGGTTAGCAAAGGCAACAGTCCTGTGCTAGGGAGGGAGCAGTGGAGATTAAATACAGCATAAGAAGAACTGAGAAAACATCTGATTTGATTGGCCTTCCTTCAGCTGCTATTTAAAGGAAGCTTTCAAGGCTTATGTTAAAACAGTAGTTAAAGATCTGGTCATGTTTGTGGATACAGGGGAGATAACCAAGCACTTTAGCCAGACTCAGTAGCCAAGGTTGCTTTTGAGAACACAATAAAACAGAGCCAACCCTCCACAGATGGGTAGAGGATGAAGAGGTAAAAATTACTTCTCCCAGGCTCCTGTTTGACATAGAGCATAAATATGTCCTGTATTAATATAACTCTATTTTTAGCCTACTCTGTATGCCTCCACCTATTAGTTAATCCTTTAGGAAAATAAACCTTTGTATTTTAATTGCCTATCTCCCTTACATCCAAAAAAGGTAACTAGTGTGTTTCATAGGACATATGTCCACAAATATATTGCTTAAGAGTAAAGGAGTTCAGTAGGGATCAAAGCAGGAACCAGATAAGTCACTTGATATTCGTCACACTGTGTGTTTCTCCTTCAATAAAATAAAACCATTATCTATTGCTTACCTCACAGAGAGCTGTTTGGCTAAATTAATTATTTGTGTAGCTCTCAGTGGAAGAGAGCAGTGATGTAAGTGCACATTACAAATGATTGCATGCATTAATGTTCTTGCTTGTGAGCATGTGTTTGTTTTTATGTAGTAACAGCTCCTCGAAATGAGCCTTTTAATCCCAAGATCTAAATGAACTCCGCAAATTCTTATTAATTCACATTAATAACACCCCTGCATGATAAAAGAAAGCTATTATCTCTGCTTTGTGCATTGGGTAAACAAGTGAGAAAAGCCATTAATGCCCTGAGCTTCAAGGATGCTCAATATTTGAGTCCTCATTTCGCACAGTAGGGCTGGCAGGTTGGGGGCATCTTTGAAAACCAGGCTGTCAGTGATTTGTCTACAGATGCAGTGCCAAAATGGGTGGAAAGGAGCTGAATCCTGAAGCTGTGATGTGTTTCATTTTAGTGGTAAAGTGTTTCTCTTACTCACATCACTGGGACCCCTTGGGGTCCACACAGGCTCTCACCGAGCTGAGCCAGCCTGGGACCCCTTGTCCTTGTGTCAGGATTAATCCCATCCTGTGAGCCCACCTCCCTGGGGAATGGGGGAGTGAGAATAAGGGGGAAATGCCTTCACTATTTCCCATATCTCTGGAGAGGCTGGTGGGACAGGAGTGGGTCTCTCAGCAGGGAGTTGCCTGGGCTGTGTCAGTGACCTCCCGGGTGGGTGGCACAGCCCAGAGCCACGGGGTTTCACCTCCATGCAGACACTGGGGAGGTTTCACAGTCCAGGTTTAAAGGATGGCAGTCTCTGTGTGAAAGTGATATGGGGTACAGCCCACCCTGTGAGATGGTGGTGTTGTCCACAAAATTGGATTCTTTACCAGGTGTGCAACAAGACAACCATTACACATTTGAGAGAGACACTGAGTATTTATTTCAGAGCTGTGCAAGCCTGGGTGCTCGGTGTGTTCCACAAATCCAGCACACCCCACTGGACTTTCTGTGGCATTCTTTATAATTAATTTTTTATAATTTATTTATTTATAATTTTTATTTATTTATTTATAATTAATTTTAATTCAGAGTTAGTAACTTTCCAAGTACAGACGCCCTATTATGATTGGTTAGTAATTTCCATACGAGTTATGTAACCCCAGCTAACTTCTCCACATGCTTGGGGGAGGGTCTTCGCCTTGGCAGGGGTCTTTTTGACGTGTAGGTATGATTTTTAGTATTACAATGAAGCTAGTTCAGCTATAGGGCACGTGGACCTTGAGTATTTTGCTGAGTTAGCAGTGTATACATAGACATACATCAACATCTTGATTTACTACATCCTTAAAGCTTGGTAGTTCCAGAATGTCAATGAGAGGTGATGTTCCTGCTACCTGTTCCACTGATTAGGTCTCCTTTCACAGAATTACAGAATAGCTGGGGTTGGAAGGGATCTCTGGATATCATCCAGTCCAAACCCCTACCAAGGCGGGGTCACCTGGAGCAGGGAGACTCCACACCCTCCATGGGCAACTGTTCCATTGCTCTGCCACCCTCAGTGGAAGGAAGTTCTTCCTCATGTTGAGGTGAAACTTCTTGTGTTTTAGTTTATGGCCATTGCTCCTCGTCCTGTTGCTGGGCACCACTGAACAGAGTCTGGCACCATCCTCTTGGCACCTTCCTTGGAGATATTTATGTGCATTAATGAGATCCCTTCGCAGTCTTTTCCGGACTAAACAGACTCAGCTCCTGCAGTCTTTCCACATTAGCGAGATGCTCCAGACCCCTCATCATCTTTGTGGCCTGTCCTGGACCCACAGCAACCTTCCAGTATCTGAAGGGGGCCTACAGGGAAGCCAGAGAAGGACTGTTCATCAGGAACTGTAGCAACAGGACAAGGATAATGGGTACAAACTGAAAGAGGGGGAAATCGGGTTAGATATTAGGAAGAAATTATTTACTGTGAGGGTGGTAAGACACTGGTACAGGTTTAGATTAAATACTCACAAAATCACAGAATATTCTGGATTGGAAGGGACCCACAAGGATCATCAAGAACACCCCATCCCTGGAAGTGTCCAAGGTCAGGTTGGAACTGGCTTGGAGCAACCCAGGCTAGTGGAAGGTGTCCCTGCTCGTGGCAGGGGGTGTGCTAGGATGATCTTTTAAAGTCCATTCCAACTCCTTAACATTCTATGATTCTGTGCTGGCTGCTGCCTGTCCCACTGCTCAGGTCTCCTTCCTTGCTGATTAGGCTCGAAAGCACACAAAGATCTCACACCAAGGAACGCCCTGATTTAAGATAATAAGGTAATTCTGACATTTCGTAGCGGCGGCGGTCCCGGAACCCCCGCGCGCTGCCGCGTTCCCGGCCGGACGCGGGGCCCGCCATGGCGCGCCCACACGGGTGTTCGCGTTCCGGGACGGCGCGCTGGGCCCCGGACCCGGTGCTGGCTCGAGCGCGGCCGTGCGGAGCCCTCAGCCTGTGCCGCTGGTCATTGACAACGGCTCCTTCCAGACGCGGGCGGATGGGGCTGCCTGGATCCCGCCGTGCCCGCCGAGCCGCTGCTGCGGTTCCGCTCGCTGGCGGCGCGGAGCGCGGGGCCCGCGGCCCGCGCGCCGGAACCCCAGGTGGGCAACGACCTGGGCAGCCCCGAGCCCCTGCGGTGGCTGCTGCGCTCGCCCTTCGACCGCAACGTGCCCGTCCAGCTGGAGCTGCAGGAGCTGCTCCTGGACCACGTCTTCCAGCGCCTCGGCGTCTCCTCGCAGGTAACGCCGGGCCGGGGCTGGAGCCGCCCGGGAATCGTGGAATGCTTTGGGTTGGAAGGGACCTTAAAGCTCATCTCGTTCCATCCCGTGCCACAAGCAGGGACACCTTCCACTAGCTCAGGTTGCTCCAAGCCCCGTCCAACCTGGCCTTGAACACTTCCAGGGATGAGGCAGCCACAGCTTCACTGGGCAACCTGTGCCAGGGCCTCGCCACCCTCATAGGCAAGAATTTTTTTTTCCTGATATTTAATCTAACCCTACTGTCTTTCAATTTGAAGCCACTTCCCCTTGCCATGTCACTCCAGGCTTCTGTAAATAGTCTTGCCTCATCTTTCCTGTAAGTTCCTTCAGGGCCGGCCCCTCTGGGTGGAGGGGGAGGTTCCACGTTAACATGGGGAAGAACTTCTTTACTGAGCAGTGACTGAGCGCTGAACAGATTGACCAGAGAGGCTGTGGAGTTTCCCATATTGGAAATATTCCAGAATCATTTGGACACAATCCTGTACTGTGTACTCTGAGATGACTCTGCTTGAGCAGGGAGGTTGGACCAGATAACCCACTGTGGTCCCTTCCAAGCTGAACCATTCTGGGATTCTGGGAGGTTGTGGCTGGTCCATAGTGGGAATTTGGAGGTCTAGAATTTCCTCTGACTCTCCTGGGATATGTTGTCCCCCTCCTCACAGATAGTCACAGCCTGGGTACACAGTGAGGTGAACCTGGCTGGGCAAGGTGTGCCCCAGGGGGGTCTTCGAAGCTCTGCTATGCTATGCTGTTAATTTCTTCATGGTTTTGTGGTGAAGCAGAAGGGGAGGATTCAGCTGCAGGGTGAAAGGCTTGGACTGCAGTGTCCTGTCAGATCATGTCTGAGAACTTGCATCCAGGATCAGCTTTTGAGAAGGACATAAACATTATTAGTGTTGTGTAGGGCTCTTATTAGTAGTGCTTATTGACCACCTGTACTTCCAGCTACGTTGAGAGTTGATCCTCAGGCCATGGAGCCTTTTGCCTGCATGACAACACAAGTACGAAAACTTTACCCAGTGTTGAACTAAACCTCCAGTGGTTTTCTCTCGCACTTCACCTTCTCATTGCATAGATTTTGGTTACTTACATTTTTAATAATTTGTATATGCTTTTAAAAGTCCATTCTCCTCCACCATTAGGAATTTATTCTTTGGTTGAATTAACATTAACATCTTTTTTCCCCTTTAAGCACTAGATATAATTTAGCTTACGTGATTTTACGTGATTAATAGCCTGCACATAAAGTGCTTTCTCATGGCTGTTTTGAAGGAGTTCTTGCTGGTGTTCAAAAGAAGAAGCAAGGATGATTGTGTTTTCCCTTCATACCTTTGTTATTATTCTTTTCCCTTGTCTCTTCCAGGGTTGTGTTGATCACCCAATTGTTCTGACAGAAGCAGTGTGCAACCCTCTGTATTCAAGGCAAATGATGTCCGAGCTCCTCTTCGAGTGCTATCAAGTGCCAAAAGTGTCCTATGGTGTGGACAGCCTGTACAGTTTTTACCACAATAGGAGGCAGAAGTGGCCCTGCAGTGGTTTGGTGATATCCTCAGGATATCAATGTACACACATTTTGCCAGTCTTAGAAGGCAGGTGAGTTCTTGGTGTCTTAAGTGCAGCCTCTCTTTGTCAGGCATTG